CTCAGTTCGAATAGCCGGTGTTTCTAAGGCGTGAATGTTAAAGTGCTCTACCAGGAGAAAGCAGCTGTAAGATCATTCCCGTTGGCACTTCATATTGGGAACTAGGACACGGTTCATTTTAAAGTGGACATTGGTGGACAGTTACAATGGCCACTAAGCACACACCGTGTTGCCTAAGTTGTGAACAGCGCCATAACGAGTGGACAGCTTGAAGTCTGATCAACATGTACATCAGAGCGTGGTAAATAAATGCACCGCCTCACTGGGTTGTTCGATTGGTGAGCAAGGGTAACATGCCGTTTCACTGAACGCGTCATTTAACCATGTCTCGGTGATTATGAGAATGTCTCAAAATATTGCGACTAGACAAGATCGGAGCTAAGCTAGTGTTCTGAGGAAATCTTGTGCATCTGTATACAACTATTTAGGAGCTGTGGGTGGCGACGCATGTGGGATCCACTAGCAATTATTTTTTGCGTGGATTTTGAACCTATAGCCCTGGGTCGTTTCGAACTGCTGTACAGAGCACCCACTACATAAACATTCAAAGGTAACTTGTGGCTGATTGCTTGTTTCTTCTTCAGGCAGTTAGAGAGCTGCACTGCGTTGGTATTCAGAAATGCAACAAGGTGACACCGTATCCATATCCCGTTGCATTTGTGGTTGAGTAGCCAGTGGTAGCCTTGCTTCGACCGCCTTCAGATGTATTTCTGATGATGTTTTGGTGCGTATTTTCGTTAACCTTTTAGGGGAATAGGGAATAGGATAACTTCTTTGCTCTTGAGCCACATCCAAGATCGTTGGCTGATAAATGTAGTCTTGAGGTTAAACTGGTAATTGCAGCTTTGAGAGAGAGTTCTTCAAGGATGTAACGCCACTTCTGTGGTCCATGAGCTTGAGCTTCCGACTGTTTGCTAGATTGAATGTCCATCCTCTGTCCTTGCTAGAAAACCAGGTTCTGCATGAATGTAATACCCATCCTGTCTTGTCATGGTTGCCTTTGGAGGACCGAGTCTGAAGTGAGTGGTTGGATGGATGGGAAAACATACACAGCAGATGGTTGCTCTAACGACACCGAAGACTAACTGGGAAGGCAAAGATAAGTAATGACAATAAGATTCTAGTCTACGCTCGACTACATCCTAACAGTTGGCTTGTTACCGAGACTCTCAGACGCGTTACAGCTATGGAGCCGTGTGATTGGGTTAACCGGGGCGCCATCTCTACATTTGCTGCTTAGGGGTTAAACAAACAACATTTTGCCTGGGAGAACTAAGTGCATAGTCGGATGAATTTAATGGAGTATTTTGCGTCACATACTCAAGCAAATCGGGGAACATCCAGACTGCTGTATGAGTACAAACTGAAAGAGAACTTGGCGTGAGAACGAGTGCGACCTTGAGTCACACTGTCTGAGTAACCCAGATAATTTCGTGTATATTTACTGAGGGCACAACCGAGTAAAATAACTGAAAAACCGGGTTGAAGCTGTAGGAAACAGAATCAGTTATCATCGCCGTGGTAGCTGGTGTAACTGCGGGAGGCCCAGAAGAGGCGAGGCCAGGTAGAAAAAACTATAAAAATCCGAGTGACGAAGGGTGGGACAGATTCAGTCAGTGTTCCCTTTCCAACTCACGCCTTATACCACAGTAAACTAGGCATAGCGGAGAAAATGTGACATACTGAGTGAAGAAAAAAGGCGGGTCAATCTCGGTTTGATATTCCTTTACAGATTTACTTTTTATATGACTGTGACGCCTGCTTTCCCGAGTAGGTGTGATCCTTTGAGACAGTCGCCTGGCCAGGTGGTGGACATCTTCTGCGCATTTGTACATAACACTAACATGTCTCAGCTCTTCTTACACAGCATTTCCTCACTGCGATTTGAACGCAAGTGAGTGTTTTTATGTATTGCACTGTCAAGCACTTAAAAGCTGCTCATTGAATGTTGCTGGCGATTCACATGCTGTTAGTTCAACAGATGGGCTGTTCGAAATTCCTGGGCATCTATTTTATTGAAACATTTATGACATTAGTATCTTTTGTCTTAACCATTGTTTGGCATTCCTATTTGCTTACCTACCCTGCTGTACGAAGTGAGCGATCCGATTTAAAACAGAAATAGCTCTATGAAAAAAAGCAAACGTGAACTTGAAGACACGTAGCGAACGTGTCACAATTGCTTCATTTGTGACATCTTGCAATGCTCAGAGTAGTTTAGTTTAAACAAGAGGTTAGACAGCCTTAGTTAATATTTGTTGCACGTTTATCGGTACGCACTGTCGCTGTTACTGCGGTCTGTATAGATAGTAGAGCAGAATTCGTACACAGAGCCATTGCAGTGTTTAATAAGGGTTGTTTAAAACTGCGCACCACAAATAATATGAAGAAGAGTCCCACAAACCCTCGTACGCTGATTCTTATGTATACTAATTATGCACCAAATTTTAGAGTGCTAACGGATAGCGAGATCAAGGTTCACTAAAATACGAATCACCATCCACCTTGAAATTGCGCATCGCAGTCCAATAACACAATGAGTACTTCAGAGTGACCTTCTAGTATGTTTACACCTGTGGTGTGGGTGCGGAAGATAATGACCCTACGGAAGACTGGAAAGCCACCAAAACAGAAAGAACGGAAAATGCCACAAACTTCTGGAACGAGATCATATGATGCGACCTAAGCGCAGCAGAACGAGCTGAGAGCGAATGGCAAGCGACGAACCCTAGCGAGCATGAGCAAAAGAGATCAGAGGAGGTATTCTTGAGAGGCTAATAAGTCAGACAGGAAAGCATTTACCACCGAATCCAGATTTTGCCACATGCAGATTAACGCAACCACGATCAAGGAAATTAAGAGCGTTATTACAAAAACCGGCTGGTCAGTAAGCAGCCTACGGAAACCAAGATACAACATTACACAGGCAGGCAAAGTTACCAAGTTGGCATGAATTATGGCACGAATGTGTCAGGTGGTCACTTTCCATGTGTGGTGCATTTCTGACGAAAACATGACTTGTAGATGTGCGTATAGATGAGGGCTTGGTTAAGCGTTGTCGCGTGCAATAAAGATTGTGCTGTCTTACCGTTTCGTCCTTACTGCACTGTGAGCTGTTACGTTACATTTCTTTGCTGAGAAGGACACTTGCCAATAACCATACGATTTCAAAGTCAGTTGGGATGTGCGCATTTTATTCGGAATATCTTGCAAGCATTCGAGAGCAGAAGTGTGTAGCATATTAACATGTATGTCGGGTTAACTTTCATTTCCTCATTTTTCTTAGTGTTATGCATGATGAGTTGCAGGAGACCAAATATTTTATCTGAACAAGGTCATTTTTGTCAGGTAGAGGAAAGTTTGCCCTAATTAGTGCTGTTGTGCGGGACCCTTGTGCTTGTCAAAACATTTAAGAATCCTGGATGATAGGTATGGCATAGTCGTTCTAAAGAAACGCATGTTAACCTTGGTTTATTATCTCCATTGACAACAAGTGAGTATCGATCCTCTCTCTAATATTCATTTCAATTGTTCTCTATATAATCAGCGCTTGGATAACTGGAAGAGAAGCATACAATGTTTTCTTGTGGCCACGTTGTTAGCTAGGCTCTATAAGAGCTAGTTTTCATTGATTTAATTGATAGATTTGACGTATTCAAGCTTGTAATGTATTCTAAATTGTAATCGTTATGCCTTAACATCGTACCTTCATCAGAATGGCTGATAGGTTATCCGGTCCATTAGGAGGCGAAAAAAGTGGCCAAGTTATCTTGGTCCGGATTTCGCAGAAGTCAGCTTACACTGTGGTCAGCAGTTGCCTTGAACGCAAGTAGACTACACGCCTGTGAGATCCGTCATGGCGTTTCTTCTATGATGGATATTATGTCATCTACTCATCAGATGACATGATAGAGGGCTCTGAGTCAGTTTGACCCGCATCGTCAGCAGGGATAAAAGGGCTTAAGTTGTAGTGTCGTGCGCCACGGCACTTAATTCAACCGATGACCTAATGATACTTCGGACTGTAACACTAGAGGAGTTACAACTTTGTTTAGTTTAGAGTACAGCTCTTTAATTCAATCTGCAGGCATTTTCAAGTAGAAACTTTGCGTCATCCATCCCATTGGAACTGTTAGAATGGTGCGAGAATATCGTTGTATTGTTGGATTTATTTGTAAGTGTCATCTATTGGGGCCTGTGTCTCTGAGGTAAAGAAGCTCAAATCCAAGTTCACTGTTTGTGGATGTGCGGCTTATGTATTCCAATTTAAAATGTATACATTAAATGGGGTTTTGCCGATAACCGGGTTGTCCGGCCCCATGCTTCCAACATCCACCTACATAGATTGCCGATTCTGATGATATTCCTTTTAAAGCTTACCTTACACTTTAAATAGGCAATGTGTATTTCACTTCATTTAGTCACATGGCAACCGCTGTACAAAGTTGCAGCACCTTGCTGTTGAAGGTGACGCGACGGCTAGTTGCAGTATAATGGCTGAAATAGAAACGGAGCCATCAAAGAATTCGAATTGTGACAGCGTTTTGTCGAGTGCTCGTGTTTAGCCCTTTTGTGTTCCATTGTCCTTTTTATAGTATTGGTCTGGACAGTTAGTCACAGTTCCAATTAGATGAGCCAAATATTTTTACTTGCAAATTCGGCCTACCAGCATTTTACTCGCTAGAGCACAAACACTTGTGTTTTTTCATTGCTTAATAGGACCGCGGTTTTCTTGTGTCAGTTGGAATAAAGTTGTGGAGAATTACGCTTCGAAAGACCATGCTTTCTGCACATCAGGACGTCATGATATCTAACATACTGTCCGGGACATTTACAATCAATTTCGTTTTCAAGATGTTCACCATGGCGTGTCCCGGATTCCGTCAGCTTATGGTTGTCACAGCGTTAAGTTAAACAGCGGTAGACAGTAAAAATTCTGACGCTGTTTCGTACTGTGATATACCTCTTGCACTGGCCCTTTGTGTTTTTATGTAGGTCTGATGACTGCCGAGGAACTTCACATTTACAAGACTACTCCACCTCTGGATTGTGATCTATATTTTGCCCCTCTCGTATGGGCGTTGGATATGATCACTGAAGCTCGTCGTGAGGGTCTTATCCGCTTCGACCGCGCAGTGGAGATATTGACCGAGGAAGTCACCAGATTTCGTGGAAAGGTTGGTAACATCTTCGCCTACGATTGGATAAATATCCCTTTGGTGTACACCCAGGTTAGTTTCTCACATGTTCTACTGGCTCGCCTACCTTGTTCCCTTCCGATTGCAGTTATTGCCTAACTAATTCCAAGTGCGGTAGTGTTTATAAGCTGCGAGTGTTTCTAGCCCTTCGGGTGTTACTGCATTTAACCACACGATTACAACCCATAGGAATCGAAAATACCAAATATATTTGTTGGGCCATCAATGCTTTTTGATTTTGTAGATTTGACCGTTAAAGACTAGAGATCCACAAGAAAAACAAGCACCCCTGTTCTAGTTGGAATCGTCTAGACCATTCTCATCATTACGCAAGTTAGCTAGATGTGGGAAACACCTCAGCTACTGTGCCGCAATACATAGAAGAAAAAATGAGAGAGAAAAAGGCGACAGTTGTAAGCCAGCTGAGCTGTCGGTAACAAATGGACATCGTCACGGTAAGATAACAGGTGCCTACTATGCAGCAAAAAATTACTGTACAAAATTATATAAGGCTAAATAGTGAGATCGTGGTTGGAGGGGAGGCCAAGAGGGATGGGGGGACAAAGAAACTCACAGCACGAACGCCACTGAGGTCGGCTCCTTGCCATGTCAGCAAGTGTATCCAGCCAAAGGTGTTCATCGTCTTCCGGACCCCAACCAGGGAGCCGAGACGCTCCAACCAAGGCCAGCTTCGAAGTGAGCACCTTAATTCCTGTCGACCAAGTCATCGCTTGGCCACCCCACCTCTTCTTCCATCCACACCCCCGGCGCGCAAACAACTCACGTCGCGGGAGTCGTTGGGCTTACATGCGTAACACGTGGCCGAGCCATCGGAGCCTGGTGCGTGAAATAACGGTGCTGAGCTCTTCAGTTCTTTTTTTCTGTGTCGTGAACAAGGCTCCGAACACGCTCGTTGCTTACTCGGTGTTCCCACCAAATGTGAGCTAAATTGCGAAGGCACCGGTGGTCAAACGTAACTAGCCTCTTTATGTCCGTTGCTTTAAGGGGCCAGGTTTCAGTACAGTAAGGTCGAACGTACTGTTGCATTGTGCGCTCTACGCTTCAGGGCAAGAGTGATGTCGCGCCGCCACCATAAGTGACGAAGTTTAGCAAAAGCCCCCTTCCTTTTTGCTTTAAGTTCGTTATCTCAGCTTCAATCTCACGGGTACTGATACCACTTCCCAAATAGATGAATGTTTGAACGACTTCTAGCTGGTCTCCACCAAGGGTCAGCGTTGGAGGAGGTGCGCGCCAATCTTAGAGGAAGGCTTTGCACTTCGAGGGTGCGAAGCAAACCGCGAAGTGACGGACAGCTAATGCTAATCTCTCCAGTGCCGCTTGACACGTTTGTGAGCTGTTACA